GGGCGGGGCGGGGCGGGGCGGGGCGCAGGGTACGCCGAGATCACAGAACTCGGGCGCGAGGCGAGCGACGGGCACCGCCACAAAATATGAGACTGGAAAATTATACGAGAGCAGTAGTTTTCACACAGGATGATGGTGGTGTTGCAGGTCGACCAGGTGGACACGGTGGTGTTGGAACCGCCGGGCGGCGTGGAGCCCGAGGCCCCCTTCGTGGACGGGCAGCTGGGCCTGGGGGTGAGTCCTTGCTCGGGCCCCTGCACGCCAGGTGTCTGCCGGTCTGCATCCTCTCCGACTTTTGTCTCCAGGACCTCTCGCCGACGGCGGTGACGCGGCTACCCCGGGGGTCCTTCTTCCAGGACGAGGACTTCCCCGCCTCCAGCGAGTCGCTCGGGTTCGCCGAGCCCCCCGAACTGCGCTGGCGCAGACCAGGGGTGAGCTGTTTCCCTAAAGTCGAAATTGTTGAGTCTCGGTGCGCGGGTCTGTGCCAGAGAAACATTCTCGACACGTCCTTTGCTTCCTCCCATAGGAGCTGGGGGTGACGGGGCCGCTCTGGACGGGGGACACCAGCGGCCGCGTGCGCGCCGGGGACTTCCACGACCGTTGGCTGGCCGAGGCCTTCGCCATCGTGGCGCAGAGGCCGCGCCTGCTGGACAAGGTGCGTGCCCGCCCTCCTGGTCCCGGGGCCCGCCCGCCCCGCACCCCCTGACCCCCGTGTCCTTGTCCGTCGCGCAGGTGTTCGGCGAGCCCTCTCCGCCGGACCTCCGTGGCGTCGCCAGGGTGAGGCTGTGGCGCTTCGGCCGCTGGGAGACGGTGGTGGTGGACGACCGGCTGCCCACCCCGCACTGCATCGGCACCGACGGCGACGCCGAGGTGTGGCCGGCCGTCCTCGAGAAGGCCTTCGCCAAGTACGTACCGCACCTCCCCGGCAACGCGTCGACGTCACCCGGCCCCCAGTGAGGTGAGCATGACGGTCCCCAGGGTCCACGGCGGGTACGCCTTCCTCGCCGGCGGGGACGTGCTGCACGCGCTCGAGGACCTCACGGGCGGGGTGGCCCAACGCCTGCGGGTCCACTTCGAGCGGCCCCGGAGGGTCACGGAGGACGGCGAGGCGGAGGGCGCGGAGCCGGAGCCGAGGCCCCAGGAGAGGGAGTCGCTGTACACCCTGGTGTTCCGGCCGCTGGTGCAGGCCCTGAGGATAGGGGCGCTCGTGTCGTGCTCGCCGAAGAGGGGCCAGCAGCAGGCAAGTTGACTTGTTTGCATTGAATCTGTCCAGTCACGGCCGGCACGGGGGTGTTAACGAAAACTCTACGTTCAGGGCGAAAGTCTGGATATATCCGTCAGCACCTTGACCGACACAAAGCTGACCATAAGAGGACCGCAAGTGTGTGTCCATGATGATTCAGGAAGCAGGTATGGTTTGTCTAAGTTTGCAGTAACTTGATTCTCAGAGTAAGATTAGCAATTATGTATTTAACATGAAATCAGTCATTTTGTTTCTAAAATAAAACAAATTACAACAATACACCGCATGAAAGGGGCATGTTGAACTATTTCTATCTATTTTCCAGTTCAGCACCCCGTTGGTTGGATCTTGAGGACTTTGTAAAGACTTACACCAATATCATAGTGACTACACTCAGTACAGGATCAGATAAGTTACAGGTACTGCAATAGCAGATGGTATATGGTCACTGAAAACATTGCAAAGGATGAGGTTGATTTAAAATGTATTTCTCAGGTACAAGAAGTCTTTGGGTTCTGGGAGGCAGGCATCAATGCAGGAGGAAGCAGAAACAACTTAGAAAAATTCGCAATCAATCCTCAATATTCACTCACAATAAATCAGCCAGGTACACACCAAGGTGCAATTAGATGTGCAACTATTTTTGCCCAAAAGGGGGAAAATGCAGGGAGCATGTAATAGCATTTTTCAATGCTAAACATAAACATAAAGTTCTTGGTTTAAATATAACATAAAATTTGCATTTGTTTGTAGTATGTACTTTCATATCCTTCTCTGCGTCTCATTTTTCCCTCGCCCTCACCCTAATTGAAGTAAAGTTCAAAATATTCATCATTTTACAGAAAAAAATGAAGACAATAGGGACTTTGGACGCTGCTCTTTGCTCTTGGCTCTCATGCAAGAGCACCGTAAAAGTAATAAGGACAACAAGCCCCCTGTCTTACCTATAGCTTGTTTTATATACAAAGTACGTACCAGTATGTCGTTGCGAACAACTCATAATCAGTTCTTCTGACTTGCTAATAAAATTGACATTAACAGGCTGATGTTCCTGAGGAACGGCTAAGCGCAGAGTATTTTCTCTGCGTACCTGAAGAGGTTGCTACTGGGCCTTTCAGAAACAAGAGGGAGGTTGCCCACCAGGCTGAGCTAGAACCAGGCAACTACATTGTTATCCCCGCAGCATGGTCGGCACTGCATCAGGGAGGATTTCTCCTCAGAATAATCACACTAAGGAAAATAAAATTAACCGCTCTTACACCATACCAGCCAATGTGTGCAATGCTCCCAACATGGGTGCCGGCAACAGAAATTTAAGCAACAGTAACGTACCAGCATATCTTTTTTTGATTGAATAAGTGGAGAATCAAAGCAAAGACAAAGACAGGGTATATAAATTTTACATCTATATTATGTCCACCATAACTGCCAAATTAGCTTTAGGTGTTCTATTTTGTAGAACTTTTTATTAGATAGAAATCAATAAATTGGGAAATAAAAAATATGTGCAGACCAGCTTATTCATTCTTCACTTGTCTTTACCTTGTCAATTACTCCCACATTACTGTATGTAGTGCCGTGAAGGGCAAGATCTTCAATACAGATTTAGAAATATCATCACACCACAATGAAATCAAACTATTGCTATTAATTAAACATATAATCTACATTTTACTTAGGTTGTTCAACCAAACTCTGTGCCTGATAAGTTTTTTTTATAACATTCTAAACTACACAGTGGAGTTCCTGTACGTGAACAGGAGTACTTCTTAGGCTGGCAGCAGTTCCCAACGCCACAAGTTTGAACCTCGGGTTTCACTGTCCTGCAGGAGTAAATAATAAAAATAGTTCAAAAACTATCAAATTTAAGGAAAAAAGGTTACATGATGTAAAACAAGCACATAAACTTTGAGAAATTTTACCTAAGCACTGGCTGAAGAGGAAACTCGAATCCAGGAGGAATGTTGAGGGTTGAAATTTTAGCAGTAATGTGGTAAGAAATTCTAGGAGTTTGTTTCTTACTTTTTCCTTTTTTCTCACCTTTACTAGCTTTGCTCTCCTGCTTTTTCAACAATCGTTCCATAGTTTTTTTCTAGAAGCCAAAATGATATAAGTAACAGAGTTTTTGATGTAAAATATGAAAAATTTATGGAATATTTCAGAAGACTTGAACAAAAGTGGAAAAAAACTCCTGAAATGCGTACCTTGTCTTTCTCTCTTTTTTCATCAGCTTGCTGCTTCCTTCGCTGAGACTTTAAAGCAGCTTTTTGAGCCATTTCCTCGGTTATTACCTTCTCCTTATAGCCAGATGGAAGGGCTAAAAGGGTTTCCTCAACAGGAAAAGTTTCTGTTTTTAACATAGCTCTTTGTCTTGCAGTCATCAGTTTAGGGTCTTTTGGTTTCATTTTCATTAGTTCATCATCAACCTGAAACAAAATTTAATACATAAGTCCATAGTTGCAGCTCATGAATATCTAAATTCAGATAAAAGCCTGGTGCACCGTACCTCTTCAAGTTTACCAGATTCAATTGCGTCAAGCCACCTTTCCTCCTCACTAGAAGTTCCACTATCTCTTCGATTCTTTTTTGACTTTTTAGTTGATACATTAACCTTTTCTGGCCTAAAAAAAGCAATTTTAAAATGACAAAATGCAACAATAGCAAACAGCAATCTAAATGATGTTGATGAAGTCGATGAATTACCCTTTGATTGGAGGTGGTACAATGACAAGTGTAGTTTCATGCGTAGGTGGATCTTCGTCGTCTTCATGTTTAATCTTTTTATGTTTCTTATGTTTATGTTTCTTGTGTTTTTTTCTATGAAATAGTTCTGGAGAACCTTAAGAAATTAAAGCACAGTTAAATAACACATATTTAGCAAATTACATCACTGTTTACTTAAGTCAGATCCTTACCAACATCGATTTCTTCTTCAACTCTCTCCTCCTTACGTTTACCCATTCCGAAAGACGTTAACTCATCAGAATATCAAAAAGAATCGCAAACCCTAGAAAGTTTGTGTACAAATACAAGTCGTCTTCTTAGGTTATGTTTGCGTTGAAGGCTTGAGCAAAAAGTCACAGCAGGCGCCATCTGTGTTCCAACGAAGGAAACACTGCAGAGTCTCTGCGGCATAGAGTAGCGCCACCGCGGAGCTAGAGCTAGAAGATAGAGCCGAGGAAAGATTTCCACTAGACCTCGGTGTTCCACAGGCCACAGGCATACAGTTCTAGCATGGAATGCGGAATGAAAATTGAATAAGGCGGAATCGCGCGGAAAAGCTGTAGCGCGCTGCAGGACTTGCTTCACAGAAGGTTTTGATGCCGTTGGGTTACAGATCTTGCTCCGCAAACCGAGAATCGTCAGTTTTCTTCATGGTTTCTCGTTGGTACGAAGGTTAGTGAGGAAAAATTTATTCCAAAATTCCATTACAAACTTAGAGATTTTAAAACCCCCCTAGACGAGGAAAGTCGTGCGGAAAAATTTAAAAATCATGTGGATTCCCGCGGAATGAGCCGGCTGCGGATTGGTGCGGATCGCGTCTTGCGATTCGCGAGCCCTCTGGCGGCGGCAGTTGAGTCAACACTCAGTTCGTTCAGATGGTTCCAGCTCCAGCAGCTCCAGCTCTCCAGCTCCAGTTTAGAGAGAGTGGTCAGCTCGGCGGAGCCCGCAGTGAACTCCAAGCCTCTCTGCAAAAGGTGGGCCTCCTGCGAACGCGCCTCCTCTGACCTCGACGGCGGCCTACCTACCCCTGGGCGAGCCGGCTTGTGGACGCGAACGAGCCGCACGAGAACGTAGAGGTTAGGACACCCCGCCCGACCAACAGGTGAGCTAAGGACCGCCTGCAGCTTCTTTTCTACTAAAGTTGGTTCACTAAATGTAGACACCAGTCCCTATTGTGAGTACTTCAATGGATCCCTATTGTACTCACAATAGGGACTGGCCTGCCGTGGTGTCTACATTTAGTGAACCAACTATACTCGCGGGCTGCGGAGGGCTGGAGAGGGCCATGTCTCTTTAAGAGTTTGCTTTAAATGTTGGTCAGGAACCAAAGTGTCAGATAGCACGACCCAGAAGGGGAATACCGGTGGAAAAGGAGTAGTCGTCGTAACGTCAGCGCC